AGAGCTACTCTAGGACTAAACTGAAGCTTAAATTAATCCTCCAAGGAAGCAGGTTTAACTTCTGCTTAACCATGTTTTTGAGAGAGCATAGACTACTTGTAATATCTAAATGAAGACCAACATGCAATACAGAGGCCAGCCAGACGAGTACTTGTTGAAAGGACTAATTCACTGAATGGCTTTGATGGTTATGCTTTCACATTACAGCACTTCGGTCTATAAAGGCAGATATCACTAAATATAAGCAATATTAAAAATAAGAACTATGAGATACTGATAATTATGAGGATGTCTCACCTGAAGTTGTTGTACTTTCCTTGTGGTTACATTTTCATTTTCATTGAACTCACTGCAAACTGCAGCCCAATCACTTTTCTTTTGCTCAGTAGCAGCAGTATGGTTTTTACTTTCAGTTACTGAATTGTTTGACACAATTTGTTTCACTTGTGTTTTTTCCTATTCTTGAAATTATTTTTGCCTCTGCCATTGCTTGGTTTCAAGATTCACACCAGTCATGGTGTTTTCTATTCAATTTTGGGTTTTTTATGAGCACCATGAGACCAACAGCATGTGCATTAAGATAATGAGGCTTAACCCAGGTGTTCTCATTCAGTCTTTCTTACCTTACTCTGGGACTCCACAGAGTAACTAAGCCAAATTCATGATTCATGAAAGCCACTTAAATGTAATCATTTAACTAGTCCACATTAAGGTCTCCTCCTGGCTTAATCCAAACCCTGTTTGTGAAACCAGAAACCAAGTTTAAAGCTACAAGTTAAGCTAAATATCATAGTACCATAGTTTACTAGGCCAACATTTATTCCATCGAATGGGTTGCAATAATTCAAAGCTAAAAAGCAGTATCTCTGTGCAAAGTTTGTTTAGATATTTTTGAAAAGTCATTTTTTCATATTTGCAAAAACTGTTTAGGTCTGTCTTCTTTCACAAAAAAATCCTGCTGAGAAACAGACTGGTATCGTTCAGCACAGAAACTTGTATGTGTCTTTCTTTGAAAAAAAAGTTGAGCTTAAAGATAATAACTCGACTGAAAGAGGCATCAGAATACGGAAGCGTATTGCATTCACTTGACAAATAAAAAAAAATCTGTTTTATTGAGTAATTTTTTCTGTTTTTCAGAGTAATTTTTTTTCTTTTTCTGTTTTTCGTGGTAATTTTTTTTTCTCTTTTTTGTGGTAATTTTTTTCTGTTTTTCGTGGTAATTTTTTTTCTGTTTTTCGTGGTATTTTTTTCTGTTTTCCGTGGTAATTTTTTCTGTTTTTCGTGGTAATTTTTTTTCTGTTTTTCTGAGTATTTTTTTCTGAGTTAAGAGAGCAATAGAACAACAGACGCTTTCATTCCTTTCTTGAGAGCTTGACATAATGGACGCAAACATGACCCGCTTGTTTAGTTTAATCCAGTTTTACTTTGTTTTGGGTTTGAGACACTGGGAGATACTCTTGTCTTTAAGTCATATAGATGGTGTTATCATTAGTTTGTCGACTTTACGCAGGCACCTTAAGACTTTAAGGTTGTTCAGACGAAAAGCCCATTCATATCTGCTGGACATTGCAGTGTTTCTCCAGAATCAGTTGGACACATATGGCAAGCTCCATGGATACAAGATGATGCATCTGAAATGCATTCAGGCTGGCTACGTGGTGACTCAAGAGACAATCAGGAGACTGATGAAAATATTGGATCCACGGGGAGTGCAGCTGAGGCGCCGGAATCGCCTTCGGCGGCGTATGTATCAGAATCCAGGCCCAAACTTTTTGTGGCACGTAGACTTGTATGATAAACTCAAATCTTACGGGATCTGCATCAATGGTGCAATAGACGGGTTTTCACGGATGGTGATATGGCTACATGCATACTCTACAAACAGTGATCCCAAGATAATCGCTGGATACTTTATTGATGAGGTGTCATCAAGGAATGGAACTGCTACCCGAATTCGATCTGACCTAGGGACGGAGAACTGTTACATGGAGCAGATGCAGATGTTCATGCTGCATGATCATATGGACGGATTTTCTAACAGATGTTATCTGTATGGCTCAAGCAATCATAACCAGAGGATAGAGAACTGGTGGGGATTTTTTAGGAAGCAACATGCACAGTTCTGGATGAACGTGTTTCAAGATTTAAAAGACTCTGACTACTTTTCTGGTGACTTCCTGGACAAAAGTCTCATACAATTCACTTGTCTTGAAATAATAGAGGTAATGTATCCTCATTGCTTTATATAGTACCTTGGCTATTATGTATACCTCAAAGTTGCAATACATTTCTGGTGTTTTTCCCCCATAGTGCAATAACTGCGGTCAAGCCAGCCGTCTCTTGTTTTTGTGTGTTCAAGCCAGCCTTCCCAACATTTCAAGTGCGCCCGTACTGTAGCCTTTACTCGGATACGGCTGAGAAAGTCAGTTTAAGTATACTAGGCGTGTACAAACGTCCGGTTTTCAAAATAGAATGTGAAAGGCCTAAAAAGATACGTGTCAAAACGTTAATTTATAATGAAAAAAAATGCATTTTAGCTCAATAGCTTCCAGGGTCATGTGACATAATGGCTCAAAATCAGCATTGGATCATTTTGACACGTCTGTCTCTTTATTGCCTTTCACATTTTATTTTGAAAACCAGAAGTTTATACACGCTGTAGTATACTAGCGCTGACTTTACCAGCCGTATCCGTGTATTTACTGCAATACGGGTGCACTTGAAATGTTGGAGCGGTTGACTTAACCGCAGTTAATGTGTCAGAATAATACCATTGACACCTGTTTAATGGTTGAAGTATTAAGAGGTTTTACTTCACCAAAAGTATTTTACCAATGTAGCTACCACCCTGTGTAATGGGTTAATTGTGGTACTAATACCACACTGTGATTTCCACTCAAAGTAGGTTATATGAAGTAAAAGGACAGTATTATCAGCAGTGTATATATTCAAAGTACTTAAAGTATGAAAAGTTAGCCTGGTAAACCAGACTGTCTGCCAGCTCTCATATTCATTTGAACTGGCAAGACAATTCACATTTGTGGATTTGTCTGGTGAAGCCAGGCTAATGAAAAGTATAAAATGCAGTAAAATGTTCCCTGTCAGTGTTTTACTATGTATCTAAGGTTGCATTTTACAGTTTACTATTGCAGATGTTTAAGATTGAGATGATTTGAACTATATTATTGGCTAGTTTAATGCATCATAATATATAGCTACTGCAGTTGGTATTGCAAATGTGTGAACTGATTTTCTCACTTTCTATTTTTTTTTTATATTTAGAGAGAACTGCAGGACATTGTTCACCTTTGGAACACTCACAGAATTCGCCCATGCAGAAATGCTGTGTCTCCAGGTGGGCGCCCAGTTATGATGTACAACTTATCCCAACTATTTGGTGCCAGAGAGTACCTCAAAGAGGTATCCCAACAAAAGGTTCAAGCCTGCAGAGAGGAATGCCGTCAGAGAGGACCATATCTCTGTGATAACACAGTGTTTGACATTTGCTGCCTTGCCATGGCAGAAAACAATCTTCATCCACCCACCTCTCCAGAGGAAGCCATTGAGCTTTACATGTTCTTACGTGCTTACATATGAGCTCAAATATAATGATCACGACGTGCTCTACTGGATCAAATGACTGGGTAGAAAATATTATGGACCATGAATTTCATGTTGTGTTTAAACTGTGAATTACTGAACTCTTTACTAATGGACATCTCCCCTTTGGGCTTTGTATGTTCTCTTTCTGAAATATCTCATCACTTTACATGTTGTGAAAAATGGAAAGTCTTGGGTGCATTGTAAAAAGGACAGCCTACAAAAAAGACTGGACAGCCATATCAATTATAAATCAAACACGTTATACTATCTTGTCCTCAATGGTGTGTATGCTGACTTTGAAATATAGCTCTTTTACAGACAGAATTCCTGTTAACAATGAGAAGTTAAAGGTTCTTCTCTTTTGATATTTAGTTGTTTAATCAAGCATTTAGGAAATATACTTTCCTGTTTTTGTTCCTCAATTTACTGTGTCAATTGCATCCAAACAATTACATGTAATAAGATGTAGGAATATGTTTTATCTAAAATTAGTTGGTGATTATGTCAACTCTCAAACATGGAAACAGATCAGACCAGCTTTGCTTATGTAGCTGGATGAAATGTCACTCTATAAATTTATGGTGAAGTGCAGTTGTCATTAAACTTTCAACAAATGAAGCATATATTTATCTTTAATTAAAGCATGCTTCCTTTTTTCTTCAGTTTACACACATTTGATAACTTTAACCTTTCACAATACAAGCACCCCATAACAAACAGGAACTCCAATTTTAAGATTCTGGTTGGAAACAGATCATGTCTCACTAGAGCAGGACTACTGAACGACATGAATCAACAGTAGACACAATTTGTTTGAAGACAGCTGTACAAAACAAGACAGCAACCTGTGATTTTAGTTGTACAAAAAACACCTCAAAGTACCTTCTACTGTTAAGAGCAGATTAACAAACACGGTCAGTATTAACATCTGACATGAGGTAGAGGTTCCAATTCTATTAGAATTTAACAGTGAAAATTTAACTTCATGAAAGTATTTAGTTTAATGTCTGAACATTCTCATTCTAGAATGATAACAAAAATTGTCTTAAATCAAAGTAAATTGTTTCTTGGTATGATAAAAAGAAAATACTGAAATTTAAAAAACAACAACATTCTGCTTATCACACAGCCCCTGAGCTAATCACATATTCTCCATAAATGCTCTGATAACAAAAAGTGTCATAACCTTTGTATGTATTGTCCTCCCTCCCAGGTCAAATTGATCCAATCTGCTTTGAATGTTCCTTCTTTTATCTCTCCTTCCTTTCTTTCCTTCCTCCCTTCTTCTCCTCTGTCCTTCCTCCATCCCTTCTTTCTTTCTTTCTTTCCTTCCTCCCTCCCCCTCTGCTTTCCTCGCTCCATCCCTCCTTTCTTTCTTTCTTTCTTTCTTTCCTTCCTTCTTTCTTCCCCTCTGTCCTTCCTTCCTTCCTTCCTGCCTCCCACCATCCCTCCCTTCTTTCCTCCTTCCTTCCTAACCCGAGGACAACAGGAGGGTTAGATCAAAGTAAAATATAAATTGTTTCTTGATATCATAAAACCAAAATCTTGAAATTTAATAAAATAAAATAAAAACATTCTGCACTCATCATACAGCTCCTGAGCTAATCGCATATTCTCCTTGCATGTTCTATCCCACATTTACACACAGTCTAAACCTAAATAGCTGGCACTGATGGGGAAGAGAAAGGTGTGTATGTGTTCATAGGTCATTTAGGCACTCTTATGCAATGTCCATTGCATAAGAGTTGCAGGACAGTATCGCCTCCATTTCAGCTCGAAGCTCAGGATAGCTGTTGTAAGTTGATGGTAGCTCCAAAGTTGGGCCACAAGTGTGTGCAATTGGCCGCCGTGCTAGCCCTTCCAAAGAGGTGAATGTGACTTGAATTTCTTTTACACAGATGACATCAGACCCAGTTAGAAATCTCATCACCTTCTGGAGGCCAATTTCATCCAGTCCCCTAATGTACTGATGGAAAAAATCGCAAACTTTGGTTGTCTGCTGAAGTAGCTGGAAAAGCTGTTATCATCTTTAACACCTTTCGTGTTGTTGGTTTAAGATCCTCATACATCTTCTTCATATCCTGTACACTGGGGAAAAACTTCCTGAGTGTCGGTCCTGCAAGTTCTGCAATATTATCCAGTGCATATTTTGGGTGCTGGATTATTTGCTTGTGAGCCACCTGGACAAGCACGGCTCTCAAGTTATCCTGTGATGTACTGTTCTCACTCCCATGCGATCCATCAGATCAAGAAGCTCTTCCTCATCATTGCCGACAACAGCCTCTTGCAAAGCAGTGGACAAGAGATCACGTTCAGACTGACTAAGATACAACATCAGCGAGTCAACCAGTAAATCAGGTGAAACAGAGTGTTCACCAAAGACGACTGCTGCTGTAAAGGCTTGTGCCAGCCGAAATGGAAAATACCCATGGTCCTTCAGTCCCTTGGCCAATATCCTGCCAACAGACTTCCATTCCTCCTTTTGCCATTTTGGGGATAATGATGGCACCCTCACATCTGCACCCTCTGCAGCACAGTCTAGAAATTCTGTCCAGAAGGCGGCGTACACATCCCGGGACACACCATCAGCATCTGCCCCCATTTCATCGATGAAGCTGTATTTCACAGAGTAGCTCATCATTGCATCATCCTTGAATTGGGCAATCAGTTCATCCAAGAGTGTCACTCTGTGAAGTTTCACAGTCACATACAAAAGTTCACTGGCAGGACTTGGTGGTCTAGCAGAGGCTGTCTCAGCATCAGTAGGAGTTGAGGTGTAGGTGGGGATGTTCATTTGTTCTTCTATTGCAAGGATTGGCTCATGTACGAGTGTATCATCGAGATCACCTAAAAACGGCCCACCTGGCAAAGGACCAATAATGACCTCTGATGTATCACACAAAGATGTAAGATCAATAGAGACAACAGCTGACATTGTGGCAGTGCTTTGCTCATCACCTTCCACTATGTACATTTGATGTTGACTGTTTTGTCTTTTCTGTGTCAGCTGCTCGACCTCTTCCATTGTGTGTTTCTCTTGTCCAGGCTCTGCTGTGTTTTCATGTTGCTCATCTGTCTGTATATCAGCTCCTTCCTCTGTTTCATTTTCACTGGTCAGGGTGTTTGTGAACAAATAAAATCTTAACAACCCCAATTTGTGTGTTTCGTAGAGGTCTCCCACGCTAACATCCTCATCAACACATGCTTCCTGAAAGTCAACTATGTCGTAACTGAACTCTTCCCACTTTCCCTTCATTGACATTTCATTAGGGAAAAACAATTTTTTAGCATGTGACAGAATCTCGCTTTTAGTGGCTTTCTTGTTAATATCAAGAACTCTGGTTCCTCCACCACTGCGTTTTCTGACTTGTTTGTTGTCATGTATCCACCCTAATTCTATTTTTCTAGTCATCTTACAGGCTCTCTTATTAGTTTTTAGATGCATCTTTGTTGGCTGCACTGGATTTTCCCCCTCAAAACCTTGATCAATACCTTTGTTGCTCATTGTGCCCATTTTTTTTTTAAGTTTTTCAAATAAGGACTGTCTTTTTGTATCATCACCGCCTCTTCTCTGTTTTTCCAAACAGAAACGCCTTGTGGCAATCCTGTCACCATAGGCTGGAATGTAAGCAGCCATAGTGGCATCATCTATGTCTCCAATTACCGAGCTGTCAATCTGCAAGAAATACAAAAAGTATACATTAGACATGACACATCTTAAAATATATATTATCTCCAAGACTACTTACTTCTCAATTTCAGGACAACCAAATACATCAACAGTAACTTGAAAGCCTACTTAATCCTGTTTACAGTCATGCAGTTGTTTTCAAATGGAGTCAGATGGCATTTACTATCATTTCAACTCCATATACTCAATATCATATTTTAGCATGATATTTATTGAACGTGTTGTTCTAACTGTTCTTATACCATATACATCATCTGTATGATCATGAGTTCATAAGTTCATAAGTCATCAAATTTCATTCATTTGTTGCACATTACCATACTTGCAAAAAAGCTTATTCTCATACCAATTTGATGAATTAAGTCTTACTTCGATGGTATAGAGTACTTCACATAAAGCAGGGGATAGGTTGTGTATTTATTAATATATTTGTATAACAGTGATGTCTCTCCATATTTCAGGATGCATTGTTGGAGGGGATGACAAATGAAAATATTTGAACCGCTGGCACTACATGTGATAGTCTAAAATGTAAAGGTACATGTGTAATACATTGAAATTCAGTGAAATATAAAAATATAGTTGAGAAAATAATTTAAAAAAAATAATATAGTACTGCAGGAACAATTGTATGTTAACGTACATGATCCTGCTGCATTTTCTGAATATTCTCCTCAGGAACACCTCTGTTCTGAAGAAATATCCACAGACCATCATCTTGTCGGAAGGGGGGGTTTGAGGATGTAGCCATTGCTGGCCCTGCAAAAATGTTGGAAAAAGGCAGATAAATATTTGTTGCACCAACAATTAACATGTTTAAAACTCTAAAGCCCAATAGTGTCATATTGTCAAATTATATGAAAGCATAAACAGTTGACCTATAAATACCCTATCTATACAGTATGTATACTCATTTGAAAGTCGACCTGTCATTAGATATTTGAATGTGCTCGTTCAAATCACCACAAGAACAGGTTTGTGTAATGTCCATCTGCATGAAAGCTTTCACTGGTTATTCATAAACAATAACATTACTCAAATATTACAGAAGACTAAACTCTGCAGCACATAGAGTGGGCTTTAATATTGTTATTACTATTACTATTTAAATTGAAAATAAAATCCAGATTGGGGCTTTGCAACATATAGAGTAGCTCATTGTACTTTACCAGTAAGCAGGTGCAAAAACGTTTCAAATTTTAAATAATTTTATGTGCACGCACGTTTCATGCAGGATCTTTCCTCTCTGTGTATCAGGTGCATGCATGTATTAAATGACAAACCACAACAATCTCAGTAACTCAAATTACTTGTCATGATGCGTCAATATAATGACTAGTCTACTGGCAATATTTCACTTAGCAGACGCTTTTATCCAAAGCGACGTACAACACAAGCAAGATCTAGGATGTTCTGGTTATGTTGACGTGCTCATGTTAAACTACTTCTATGTTAATATTCTCACGTTACATTTCTATAGTGTTTGCGTGTACTATAGCATGTAAGTTAAACAAAGTTGTGACGAATGGCTCGTTAGCATAACCCCCTCTCTAGTGAAACCACTGGTTTCTCTAGCTTGTTCTACTTGTGCCAAGCCAATATATTGAAAGAAAGGCGGTTAATTTGTGATGCGTAACAATGGCCAGCATGATGGAAAAAAACTGTTAGCTTAACGTTACCTGACAACTGAATCATGCCCATACACGTTTGTCAGCTAACGTTGTTACAACCTGTTACTAACTTAACCTGTTACATTGAGCGATAGGCCTACATTAGAAGGATGCAGTGGAAAACATAGCTAGATTATCATACCCTGTGTGTAACTAATTACGTGCCTTGCCCTTATTGATCCCGTATTTTAGGAGCAGGAGCACGGATGCAAAATACATCCAGCAGCAGGAGTCACCATGGATGCAGGGGTCACTTGCAGGTGCCAGGTGGGAGCTTCTCGCGAGATTTTGAAGTATCTCTCCTCGTTCAGGAAAAAAATTACCACGAAAAACAGGGAAAGAAATTACCACAAAAAACAGAAAAAAAATACCACAAAAAACAGAAAATATTACTCAGACAAACAGAAAATATTACACAGAAAAACAGGGAAAAATTACACCAAAACACAGAAAAATAAATAAATTACTCCGAAAAACAGAAAAAATTACTCAGAAAAACAGGGCTTTTTTTATTTGTCAAGTGAATGCAATACGCTTCCGTAGATGCATGTCTCTGTGCCTCTCCACTCTTTCAAAACCAAAAGGGAAACCTATAATTAGGGATATCCTGCTAATTGTACATAATTAATTATAAATGACTGTTTGCTTTGCCAACGCTGAATGACAGTCATATTATTGTCATGACTGTACTTATACACAGACGTCAAAAACCTGAATGTTAATTAGGGATTTGGAAGAGGCCTAAAGCAGTTCAGGAGAGTTTTTATGCACTATAGTAACTCAGGTGTACAGTTTCACTAAAGCCACAGAGCATTTGAGAGAGAATATGGAATTGTTCATCAACTGATCTTTGGGATCATAAGTCGTTGGTTTTTTTTTTGTTTGTTTGTTTTTTAATGAGAAGTTGTTTTCTTATCAACTGAAATGTCCTTTGTCGAAAATGACGAATATGATGTCGCAAAAGCAGTTGTGAGTAATTTCAGATTTTTATGGTTTGGTTGAGTTTAGGTAGGTCAGACTACCATGTCACTACCTGGTTAATCAATGTCAGGGAGAGATCGTGGTCAAAGTTTAAAGAAACTTACATCTACAATTGGTCTGACACAGGATGCAAACAGTCAAGTCAAAGTTTAAGTGCTTTATTTTCTGTGTTATTTATATTCATTTTGCCTAAATCAGAGCTGTCAACTAAAGTTACTTGACACCACATATTGCCCAAGTTATTTATTCCTAAAATAATTAAAAACTTACCACACACAGTTCCAAAAACAGTTTACAGTAAAACTTGGACAACAAGCTGAACAAAGATAGGTAAAATAAACACACTTAGAGATGTGCAAATAAACATAAAAAACAACAGTGACCTTACAGTGCCTATACAGATGTGTTATTATAAATAGTAAACAAGAATACAGAGTGAATCAGTCATTCATTCATTCATTTTTCATAGTTTGCCTGTTCAGGGTTGCGAGGAGCCTATCCCTGCTGATGTTGGGTGAGAGGTGGGGTACACCCTGGACAGGTCACCCATCTATCACAGGGCTGACACACAGAGAAAGACAACCACTCACACTTACATTCATACCTAAAGTCAATTCAGAGTCACCAATTAACCTAGGCATGTCCAAAGTCTGGTCCGGGGGCCAATTGTGGCCTGCTGACTGATTTTCAATGGCCTGCGGCTTGTCTTTCAAGTGTTAGGCTACTATATGTGGTCGGCACATGCACAGTGTAAAGTTGACAGCAAGGGCTGCTGCTTTCAGTAACGGTGGAAAGTTGAATACAATTTAACTGAAGGATGAAACAGTTGCATCTGATCAAATCTGGCCCCAATTCAAAAAAGTTTGGAAAGCCCTGAATTAACCTAACTGCATTTCTCTGGACTGTGGGAGGGAGCCAGAGCTGACACATGGAGAATGTGCAAACCAGCCAGCCTGCAGGTTTGAACCCAGAACCTTCCTGCTGTGAGGCAGCAGTGCCAACTACTGCACCACTGTGCCACCTGGAATGAATCATATTGAGACATATGAAATAATTAATGAATGGAACACTATTCATATTATTCTATTTTTAGTAGAAGGTTGTATTTTTTATTTACCTTTTTTCTTTGAACCCTTGAGCTGCTGTAACATTTGAATTTCCCATTTAGAAATAATTAAGTCTTAACCTATATACATGAAGCAGGTGTTTTTTTTTTTTTTTTACAATAAATGCATGCATAAATGTCTATCTACAGCATGCTTAGATATTCATATTGGATAATGATGTGTGTATCTAAACAATAGAATATAAAACTTATTATTTGTAAGTACAATGGGTGCTTAGTGCTACTGGCTTATAACTGCAGGGATTGTTCCTGCAACCCAGTTGCCAGAGTAAATGTTGGCATATTGCCTTCATGCAAACCACAGATACATTTCATTATTCTATGATTATGTCGCAGATACATCAGGTACAGCGGATTGACACTTTCACCAATGCTGTGGTTAACATGTGGTTTGGTTTAGGCACAAAAACCCATTTGGTTATAGTGAGGAAAAAATGTCATGTTTTGACTTAAAATATCTGGTTTTGGTGGCACAATCCCAGCTGGAGATGGAGCAATGTTAAAGCAAAAAAACCCAACTTGCTTTTCATTGAACTATTCCTGGTGGAAACACTGTGATGAGTTGCTAAGAAAGACCCACATTTGGTGGCTGAAAATCCTCTGGAAACACAGCAATGACTCATTAAAAAACAACCAGTTTTATTGTTTGTTTGTCTCTAACAGTAATTTGCAGTGGTTTGCAGCTTGGCAGGTGTCTTGCCTCAGCGTCGCACCATCCATCATCCCCTCCACCTCAGGATGTCAAATTCAGCTCATATTACATTACTTTAGAAACTTTGATACGATACATATTAAATGTAACGTATTTGTGGTTTGCAGAAACCTACAATGCCATCATTTCTTTCTGGTGACTGGGTTGGTTCCTGACACTATGGGCTGATGTAAAGTGTTTATAGTTTTGACCTGTGGAAACTGTTCTTGTTTCTGGCTGTTTTGGCGTACAGTCTAGAGCCTACCTGAGGGGAGAAATTGGAACAGGTTGTACCCAGGGCGTGATGATATGCTGTGATGTTACCTGCTTGCTTACTCTGGAGGTGTATAAGTCCTGGATGGAGCTTGGCAGCAATGAGTCTTTCTGCAGTCTTGACTGTCTGGTCTGTTACTGTTTGGATCTAAACCTCACTGTAATGTATGTGCAGAGAACAGACTGGATATTTGCTGAGTAAAACTGGATCAGCGAATCCTGGTTGGCAGACTCACCATAAATTGCGAGCCAGACAGTACCTCTTGATTTATTACTATCTGTTGAATGATGGAATCACATCCACTAAAATGACTTAAAGATACATTGAAGTCTTCTACTGATTAGAAAACATCAACAAAAGCGAGCCAGTCAGTGGCATCAATGCCTTCGTCATTCAGGAACTGCCTACACACTCTGGCCACATGAGGCTGGGCACTGTCCTGCACCAGGAGGAACCCAGGGCCCACTGCACCAGTGTAAGGTCTGACAAACGCTCTGAGGTTTTCATCCTGCTACCTAACTGCAGTCAGGGTACCGTTAGCTACGACATGAAGGTCTGTGCGACCCTCCAAGGATATACCTTCACAGACCATGACTGACCTACCACCAGTGCTTAATTTGAGCCGGAACGTACTGGAACGCGTACCAGGATCTTTTCAGAAAAGGCCCTGGTGCGTTCCGGAACTAATTTGCATGGGTCNCCGGAACGTACTGGAACGCGTACCAGGATCTTTTCAGAAAAGGCCCTGGTGCGTTCCGGAACTAATTTGCATGGGTCTAGAACTTTTCGCATCTAACAACTACATACAGTATTGGCTGATGTCACTAGTGTTGCAGGGTATACTGGTAATGGTAGACCACGGTACTAAAACTCCACAGTAGCCTACATATGATAGTTCAAAGTCCAATCGCAAGACGGTGAGTGTCCATGCGTTGTCCTGGTGTGCGCTGGTCAATAACGGCGCGCGCCGGCCACCTGGCACTCAATATGCTGCTGTAGTGGTTTGTTTTCCAGGCATGTGAGTATCTTTGAGCAGTGAAAGTTATTATTTATTTATTTTTACTTGTCGGCAGTGATTTGTTTTCCACAGAGCTCTACGTGCGAGCATTTTACTCGCATTTGCGACTAAAAATAGTTTTGTGAGCGCAAATTAAATCATTCAGCTCGCTGTGTGAGTACAGATTTCAACCAGCAGCAGAAAGGAAAATCAAATCCTGCCGGTTGTGGGTTGAACGGGGGTCAAAGACAGGATA